TTTTTTTTGCACTCTCAATCTCAAATGTCATATCTTGGCTCTGCAGTTTTGGATTAGTTTACTTATGGGGTTTTTTTTACTTATTTTTCTGTTTGTTTATATGATTTATATGGCCATCCAGCTCATGCTGGTAAAAAAAGTGGATAGATTTTCACAAATAACCTTAAATTTAAAAGAGAGAGAGAGAGAGAGATCTGGGTAAATCTATACTATGAAAATATTAGTTTTAAGGTCCTGAGAAAAAGATCTGATTCCTGCCCTTTTGACACTGAGACAGCAAAGAAAACCTCCCAAGATTGCAAACAAAGGAGCAAAATCTAACTAGGTTGAAGCTTAAGAAATATTCCTTCATGTCTACTATGTAAGGTTTTTTTTCCCCTCTAGCGTAGGGAGGCATCCTTTTTGTAGCTGAGAATGATACCATCACCACTACCATCATCATTACTAAAATTTTAGCCATGACAAAACGGTAAGGAGATAACATGACATCATCAAGAGACATGAGGTGGGCTTACTGTTTTATTTCCCTTTTTTGTTTCAGGGAGAATTTTGAAGTTTTAGAGATGCAGGTAGTACTCAACTTACAACAGTTCATTTAGTCACTGTTTGAAGATACGGTGCCACTGAAAAAAATGACTTATGACCACTTTTCACACTTGCTACTGTTGTAGCATCCCATGGTCATATGATCAAAATTCGGTCACATGGCAACTGACTCATATTTATAATGGTTGCTGTGTCCCGGGGTCATGTGATCACCTTTTGTGACTTTCTGAGAAGCAAAGTCAATAGGGAAGTCAGATTCACTTAACAACTCAAGAACTGCAGTGATTCACTTAAGAACTGTGGCTAGAAAGGTCATAAAATGAGGCAGAATTCACTTAACAATTGTCTCACTTAGTAACAGAAATTTTGGGCTCAGTTGTGGTCGTAAGTCGAGGATAACCTGTACAATAAGAACTATTAGATCGTGCTAATGTTGTCCAACAATTTGCCACTGAATTTTGGCAGTATGAGCCGGAGGAACACCACAATTATCAAAAAAAGAACCAAGGCAAGATGTAGCCCATGAGTTACCTTTCCTGTTCTTACACGTTTTGCCCATTTTGACTCACACCCACTTCTAATGACACTTCTAATGCCAGGTTACACTTTTCCTCCAGTTCCTTGATGGAGAAAGGTCACTAGACCACCTGAAGCACTGCTTTGTGTATAATTAGTGTTCTTCATTAATCCTTGATTTACTGTGTCTTGCAGGAACCTACTGCTTCCAGATGGAGTTCCCTCAGAAAGGCAATGGGCTCGCTTCTATATTAAGATTTATCGGGCAGAGGGGCTTCCACGCATGAACACTAGCATCATGGCCAATGTGAAGAAAGCTCTCATTGGGGAAAACAAAGACCTGGTGGATCCTTACGCCCAGGTGTTTTTTGCTGGACAGAAGGTATGTGATATCCAGTGAGATCTTGGTAGATCAGGTCTGACAACCATTCATGTTTATTTTATATAAGTTTGATAAATACATAAAAGTATGTATAAATTTGAGAAATTAATAAGTAGGTTTATGTTATCCTAGCATAGGAACTGGCATTTTTAGTAGGGACTCAGAATGTAACTGATCATTAGTCAGAAGTTTCATTTAGTCCGAGTACCTTAGGGCAGCTTTTCCTAACCTGATACTCTCCAGATACATTTAATAGAGATCATGCTGTCTGAAGTATTATAAGAATTGACCTGACACAAACTAATGACACCGCTGTGAAAGACAGATTTCAATTTAGATCCAAATATGTTTTCAGCATTTGAATATGTGAAATAATTTGCTTCTAAGGTATTAAAAGAATACGAGGGAATCTACATGTGCATTTTCCCAAGGTATAGTCATGATAGTCATATAGAGCCTTCTTGTTCAGAGATGCCATATCTCTTCATACCGATCTAGGAAGAGCAGCAATAGGGGAAAGTTAAGAATATGGACGCCCTAATCTATCAGGTTCTAAAATTCTTTCAATCTTATGTCCATGGCCCAGGGGAAAACTTCTGTCCAGAAGAGCAGCTATGAACCTGTTTGGAATGAGCAGATAGTTTTCACAGAGATGTTTCCCCCTCTCTGCAAAAGAATCAAGGTCCAGATCCGAGATTCTGACAAGGTCAATGATGTGGCTATTGGAACCCATTTCATCGATCTGAGGAAGATCTCCAATGAAGGAGACAAAGGTAGGGAGGATGCAGAAATTCTGTCTTCAGACACCTTTATTTTTTGCCTACTTAGTGGGTTTTGTTCCTATTCTTCATTTTCTGGCGAGTTGTCCCCAAACCTAGTTACATTTTTCTGTTTACAGCAAAGGTACACAAATGTCTTATGATGGAATGCATTTTAAAAAAAGACTTAAAACTTCAGTGGGTTTGGCCACAATGGCTTCCTCACCCTATATCCCTCAATGATAATATCCTGGCAACATATCTCTTCTGACAACATTTCCTTGTCCAGCTGCACTGCCTTCAAAAAGATCACATGAAGTGTTAATACCACTTTATAATGCCTTGGCAAGACCATACTTGGAATATTGCATCCAGTTTGGGTTGCCAAAATATAAAAAGATGTTGAGATTCTAGAAAGAGTACAGAGAAGAGCAACAAAATGATTAGGGGACTGGAGGCTAAAATATGAAAAACAGTTGGAGGAATTGAGCGTGTCTAGTTTAATGAAAAGAAGGACTGGGGATGACATGATAGCAGTGTTCCAATATCTAAGGAGCTGCCACAAAGAAGAGTTGATCAACCTATTCTCCAAAGTACCTGAAGGCAGGACAAGAAGCAATGGATGGAAACTAATCAAGGAGAGAACCAATTTGGAGCTAAGGAGAAATTTCCTGACAGTTAGAACAATTAATAAATGGAACGATTTGCCTCCAGAAATTGTGGGGGCTCACCAACACTGGAGGTTTTTAAGAAGAGATTAGACAACCATTTCTCTGAAATGGTATAGAGTTTCCCGCTTGAGCAGGGTGTTGGACTAGAAGACCTCCAAAGTCCCATCCAACTCTGTTATTCTATTATGCTGTTATTCTGAGGTATATATACCTAGATGATATCATCTCCATTGCTACAATTGCAACTTCATCTCAGGCCTACTTGCATCTTCAACAATCAGCAGTGGAAAAGAAATGAAACTATTAGGCTTACAACGTTGGAAGTAAATAGTAAATGATAGGTGTGAGCATACATCAACAGAAATTACCAGACCAACTCCTCTGTTGAAACCCAAAAGAAGAAAAGGTAGCAAAGGCTAGAGGAAACAACATGGAGGAAGATAGATAGTTAGAAGACTTACTAGACATTAGTATCTAGTACAGTATGCCAGTACTAGAACAATTCTGGCAATATGTTTGCTAATGAACCAACTTAATTGTTAAAAGCTGTTTCAATATGAGCATTTATCCAATTCTTCTTATCTCTACAAGGTTTCTTGCCCACATTCGGCCCTGCATGGGTAAACATGTATGGGTCCACCCGCAACTATACCCTGATGGATGAGCACCAGGACTTGAATGAAGGCCTGGGTGAAGGGGTCTCCTTCCGAGCCCGTTTGCTTCTTGGTCTAGCAGTAGAGATCTTGGATACCAGCAACCCTGACATCACCAGTTCCACAGACGTTCAAGCTGAATTAGCAACTCCTGTCACTGATGTATGTTTCCTATGCTGTAATAACTGCTATATCTTATGTTCTCAGTATATCACACAATCACATTTACTGGGGAAGCCTCCTTTCCATGGACTTTAGTCCATTCTTTATTGCAAATAGCTCTGTTTTTCAGTGTGAACCAAGAGCTGTCATGTTGAGGAAGACCTAAGAAAACAACAGAGTTGTGTGTTTTGGCAATATGGCCAAGAGGTGCTGTATGTCTGGGGTTCCAGGTTTGATTCCTCTGAATGCACAAACCTAAACTCAGTTCCCAGTTAGTCATAGTTGGTTTTAAAAAGCCAAAACAAGTCATTACTAAATTGCATGCTTTGTGTGTACAAAATCTCTGGTACATTCCCATGCCACCAAATAAAAAGAAAAGCTTACTAGGTAATCTTTTGGAGTTGGTGAACGCCTCTAAAATGTTGAGAATTGTTATGGATACTCTTATAAATTGCCTGCTCAGTAGGAATTTGTTTCTACACAATATGTCTCCCATGGTGGACATAACTGCCTGTTTCAAGAAAATTGGTGGGCATCAAAGGGATTATTTGCAGACATATTGCCATCCCTGGTACCATGTTTTTACCTGTGACATTGACCAATGATCTAAATTAATATGTCACAACTCATTTTCATAGGTTGAACTCCTTCACTATAATTATAAAACCTGCTGTGTTTATATTCCACCCCATCCCACAGAGCTGCACAGGCAAGATGGAGGAGTTTTTCCTCTTTGGATCCTTCCTGGAGGCTACCATGATTGACAGGAAGAATGGAGACAAACCAATCAATTTTGAGGTCACAATAGGTTTGTGAAGGAATTTTGTTAAGTATGGGATGTGGCTTTAGGAGGGAGATTTGCTTTCTGTGATGCCATACAAGGAGAATTGAAAGTATAAATGGCTTTTTCAGGAATCTGAACAAGAAGGATGAACTTGCATAATTGCTTTAGTCCGGAAAATGCTATTTCACTATTATTGATTCATTATCACTCGTTTTTGTAGATGTTCTGTTCTAGCACATAATGTTTATCAAATTACAAAGCATGTAACACCTGTGGTTGCATTTGTTATTACCAAATGGGTTTAATTGGTTAAGAATGAATTATAGAAATTATTATATTGATATTTCTAAATATGCTATTTGGAATAATTAAATATAAATTATCATAGAAAAATTGCTGAATTCCTAAACTCCTGAAAATGATTGCTGATTTATTGTTAGGTTTTATTTTGTAGGTATTCTAAAATTCTGCAAATAGAATTGATTAAAGATGCCTATGTTCAATATACTATACTTACTATGCAACACAAAATCACATGTTTCTATTTGACCTTCAATAGATGGAACTTAAGTACACAAATGTCTATGTGTACTTTTTTCCCAGTGACAACCTCTTAATAAGAATTGCCATCTACAAGGAGGTGTGCTTAGGACAAATTGTATTATATTCCTTTTGCATTTTAAACTTTACATTGATTATATTTCTAGTATGTTGAACATCCATAACTCTGTTCATTTTATTATACTATTTTTAATCCTTTAGTATTGTTTGAATTTTTTATGTATTCTTCCCACAAATATATTTCTGGATGAAACTGTGGCTTATAAAATATGTAAAATGAAAAGTCCTCACTGACTCCTTTCATTCGTCAACCTACACTTCAACTTTAGTTACTATTTTTTTCAAACATTAAAACAGGATCATTGGTAGAGAGAAATATTTGACTAAAATATGTATATTGACATAAATGATTTAAAATTACATATTAAGATGTCAGGGTTTCAAATACGAATTTGTACCATGATTTGAGTAACATTGCTTCTGGGTGGTTCTGTGGTGGTGGCGATGATGGTGGTGGTGGTTCTTGATATAGGATACAAATATGATTCTGATGTGTGATGAATTGTATAGGTGATTTTGAAACTTGCCATCACCATGATTGTTCACATTTTTGGTCTGGTTTTTTTTGTGATTTATATTTCAATCCTTCTGATGCAGCTCGATATAAAAGCTATCCAGATGTGGAGCATAATAAAATATGAATCACTTTCAGCATTGAATAATGATGGGGAGCATGATCAAGAAAATTGTCATGTTCTTGAGAATGATTTATGTAATATCAGTCTTATTCAAATTTTGGGTTCTATGTTTCTTCCATTTACTATCTGCTGGCTATATACAGTATAACACTAATCCATTGAAGTGTAACTGTTGCTGGCTATATACAGTATAACACTAATCCATTGAAGTGTAACTGTTTCTGTTATCCCAGAAACCCATTTCTTGAGTTTGGGCTTTGTGGTTATTCTCTTCATGCCTAAAAGCATAATCCAGCTTCTGGGTATATCCAAGATACCATGATATGATTCGGCAAGGCTCAGTAGCTCTAATAAATGGTATAATCTTTCCATTCTTCATCCTACAGAATCTGATTCCTTTTTCTTTTCTCCAAGGCAATTATGGCAATGAAATTGATGGCATGTCCAGGCCCACCATCAAGAAGAAGAAAGATGGTGGGGATGGCAATGAGGAGGAATCTGAGCTGCTACAGAATGACAGTGATGAGGAGGTCAATATTGATGGGGAATTTTTCTCAATCTCTACTTCTCCAGCCATGAAACCATTGATTACTGACAGGCAAGTGAGCTTGGCCAGTCTGAAAATACATTTACTTGAAAAGAGGAAGACTGTAGGATCTTTAGTTGGGTGTTAAGCTGTATATTTTCTTTTCTTTGATTCAGAGATGGGGCAAATGATACTGCATTTCCCCATCTTCAGTACCATGTAGGAGAGATGGCAAAAACCCAGAAGACTTTTGTGCTAAGACTTTGTCACTATTGCATTTACATTTCTTTCGGTAAAAGACCAGTGGAAGAATCTTCTGATGTGTTCATTAGTTTCCCATCTTGGAAAATTTTGTCCCAGTTTCCATGTAGCACAAGAGGTACAGTAAGTCTTTGTCTTTGACTTGCAACCACAACTGAGCCCCAAATTGTTGTTGCTAAGTGAGACATTTGTTAAGTGAATTTTGCCCCATTTTACGACCTTTCTTGCCACAGTTGTTAAGTGAATCACTGCAGTTGTTAAGTTAGTAACATGGTTGTTAAGTGAATCTGGCTTTCCCATTCATTTTGCTTGTCAGAAGATCACAAAAATTGATCACATGACCCTGGGACCCAGCAGCCGTCATAAATATGAGTCAGTTGCAAGCATCTGAATTTTGTCCATGTGACCATAGGGATGCTACAACAAAAGTGAAAAACAGTCATAAGGCACTTTTTTTCAGTGTTGTCGTAACTTCAAACAGTCACTAAATGAAATCTTGTTAGTTGAGGACTACCAGTATTAGAGAAAAGTATTAATAAAGGAGGAAAAAGCTATTGTGATACAGATTGATACTCTTTCTCCTGCTATTACAGGAACTATTTTCATTTACCGTATTTTGACAAGAAACCTTGTATTTATATCAAGAGTTGGTGGCAGGACCAGAGACGACGTTTGTACAATTCAAATATCATTGACAAGATTGCAGACAAGCTGGTGAGTACCTGCAAAGGAGACAGGAGGAGGAGAGGAAGACGGGGCGAGTTGGAATGAAATGCCTCTGGAATGAGTAGGGCAAATCTCCCACTCGAGCATTGCCTACTGAAAATCACTTCTGCTCCTTTAGGAAGAAGGCCTCAATGATGTGCATGAGATGATCAAAACTGAAAAACCACACCCAGAGCGCCGTCTCCGAGGAGTGCTGGAAGAACTGAGCAGTGGATGTCTGTAAGTCAGGAAAGGGGATTGGGGATGGCCAGCTGCCTCTTAAGACTCTTGATTCAAATAATTAGTGAGGTTTATCTCCACTATGACTCAGCAGTTAAAGACGCTGAGCTTGTCAGCTGGCAGCCGGGGTTCAAGACCCAAGCGCCACACAATGGGGTGAGCTCCCATTACTTACCTCAGCTCCTGCCCACCTAGTATTGTGTCACTTCAAAATTAATTTTATTTGAAGGACCCTCTTTGAAAAATACAGAAATTATTGTATAAATAAGCCCTAATTAAGCATGTTTATATTATGGAATATAAAATATTTTCAAGTGTTTCCAAGAGCAGAAGTAGATGCTACCTTGATACATAATAACTACAACCTGGCATTTGGGAAAACAGAGAAATTCCAAGAAAGAAAGAAGAGCAGAAAGGGAGATGTATCTGTCCCATTCCACATCTCCTTTTTCTTTCTATTTACTAGTCATGCACCCCCTTACCCACCCTCATTTTCTATCACCAGTAAATTTGGTAAGATTCTCCTTTTCTATTCAATAATCAAATATTAAAGGATAAAAGTTTGAGGACTGAGTTTTGTGGTCATAATTCTCTTTTTTCACAATATCCCCTTTCCACAGGAGATTTGTGTCTCTCTCCAACAAAGATCAAAACCACTCCTCCCGGACGCGTCTGGACCGGGAAAGGCTGAAATCCTGCATGCGGGAACTGGTGAGCATCCTTCCTTCCTTCCTTCCTTCCTTCCTTCCTTCCTTCCTTCCTTCCTTCCTTCCTTCCTTCCTTCCTTCCTTCCTTCCTTCCTTCTTTCCTTCCTCCCTCCCTTCCTCCCTCCCTCCCTCTTTCTTTCTTTCTTTCTTTCTTTCTTTCTTATGCACAAAATATTTCACAGCGCAGTGTCAAGACACTGGGTTAGAGATTCTACTATATATTCATTTGAATCACTGTGTTTTTATAAGAACTGGGCATCATCAGCATATTTATGGTACCTAACAATCGTTGGATCACCTCTTCAATAGATGTTGAATAAAATAGGCCAGAGGATCAAACAATCTATATTGAAGGGCCTGAGAACTCATTCTCTCCTCCCTCATAATTATCAGCTGGGATTATCCACACAGTAATGAATACAATTACCATAAAATGTTGCTCACAATGTCTTCAGGTAACCTGGAAGGATATGATGGTCAACAGTTCTGATGGCCACTGAGAAATGTAGGACAAAGATGGATCACTCTCTAAACTCTAGCCCTGTGAGAGGTTATCCATTCAGGTAACCAGGGTAATTTTTCTCTGAATATAGGCCTGAATCCAGACTGCCTATGGGCAAATAAACTTTTTCCAGGGTTCTCTGTAAATGGCTTTACTATCACCTTCACAGACTTCCCCAAGAAGGGAAAATTGAAAAAAGATGGTAGTTCTCCTAATTCACAGGGCTGGACTATTGGAAAGGGAAACAAACTGGTGCCTCTTTCAAGGCAGACAATCTCTCCCTCGTCTCACAATGAATTGTCTTCTCAGAAGTTTTAACCAACCAGGGAAAACCTTATAGATGGCAATATTGGCCTAGGAGAAAATCGAATCTATGCTCTTGAAATCTACAGGCTCACATCTCCCAAATATTGCAAGTTATCACTTTTGGACCCTAGATATCTGCCTTTTAAATCAAAGAGATTATCAACAATTATCATCCACCAAAGTCCAGCTAAAGAGTTACAATGCCCGTTTGGCAAATAAAGACAAGCCATTAAGAGAACTTCTGTCCAGTGTCCTTTTTGCATTCATATTCTAGTGAGCAATTTTAGGCACCAACACTGCTGCTTTCTGAATCACTGGAAAAACTACTAAATATGAGTCTCAAATGTGATCTTGCTAGGTTCATGGAGCAAAACCATTTTAGGAATACCCTGTAGAACATAAATTATATTCCTTAAGAATGTACTCTGATGTCTATTTGTATTGTATAAATCTTAAAATCTTTTATGTTAGAATAACCTAAGAATAGTTTAGATATTAATAAAGAATATAAAATAGAAGCCATTGTTTACATGTGGTCAGAAATAGGCCCAGGTACATTAGACACATCCACTTCTAAATGCATATTCTTGCAGTCTTTTGTCTTGCCTTTCAGACTCTTTTCTTTTTCTCTGCTTCTTCTTTCACCACACAGGAAACGATGGGCCAGCAAGCTAAGACCATGAGATCTCAGGTTAAGAAGACCACTATCAGGGACAAGTTGAAGCAATCCCAAAACTTCCTACAAAAGCTGCGGTTCCTTGCAGATGAGGTGAGACTTAGTTTCATTAGTTCATAACTTTAACTCCCTTGATATGTACACCTTAACCCTGGGTGTCAAGGATGGTTTAAGTCTGCAGGTGCATACAGTGGCCTGCTCCTTGCAGCACTGTTTTCATTTCAATCAAGGAAGGAAATCGCTGCAGATTTGATGGTGCAACATCCCTGTTATGGGGACAGCTGCACCAACACTTTAAACCTCTGTCCTGAATAGGAAGGAAGATCTAAGTGTCTATGGAGCTTCTCAGGCATCCAGGTCACGATTGTCATGAAAGTGCTTTTCCATAGTCAAGTGGATGTTTTACTTCTCATCCAAGAAGCTTCTTTAGTTCTGACCTGAGTTTTTGTTATATAAGAAGCATTTGGGACCTTTCAGGTTGTGATCCCAGGCAAATCAATGATTCCATTTACATGTGGAAGAAGCCCATGTGATAGTTTGGGTGACTGAGTAGGAAATCCATCTTAGAACAATGAAACAATGGAAACTAACTTTTTCCCAAACTAACTTTTTTGATCTCTAGCAGAGTCCCACATTCACAGTTGAAACGGGTAAACAAATGGATTCAATGAAGTGTAGGTGCTTTGTTCATCATGCCCAACAATCTCCGTCTTTCTCCTCTCTGCCTGTCATTTTCAGCCTCAGCACAGCATTCCTGAGATCTTCATTTGGATGATGAGCAATGGCAAGCGCATCGCCTATGCCCGCATCCCCTCCAAGGATATCCTGTACTCCATTGTGGATGAGGAAACAGGCAAAGACTGTGGAAAAGTGAAGACGGTTTTCCTCAAGGTGATTTTGCATGTCTTTTTCTATCTGACTAACATTTCTACGTTAGATGGGGGAAGAAGAAGCACGTGAGAAGCATGTGTGGAAAAAAAGGACGGAGGGATATAAATTTCCCAGGATATCATGATCCTCCTTATCCACAGATTCCCTTGTCTGTAGTCTGAAGGCAACAAGGGCAGAGGCGGTTCTGTGCTTTCAACAGTTGTGTGAAACAGAATTTCAGCTGAAGCTTTTCACATCCCAGAACTGTTGAGAGCTTCATCATATAGTATGTTAGGAAATTGAGAGGAAAGAAAGAAAGAAAGAAAGAAAGAAGGAAGGAAGGAAGGAAGGAAGGAAGAAAGAAAGAAAGAAAGAAAGAAAGAAAGAAAGAAAGAAAGAAAGAAAGAAAGAAAGAAAGAAAGAAAGAAAGAAAGAAAGAAAGAAAACTGGCAACTGGCAACTTTCCTTAGACTTTGCAGTTTGTTGCTGCAATTCAGAAGAAGGGATCCAAGTTATTTGTGCTACAACAGGCTGGTTCAGGGTTCAGCAAGGAACACAAAACCTGATCCATATATGGAGAAAAATAATGTTTTGAAATTGGATATTTGTATTTTTCCAGCTCCAGGATATTTTAATCATTTAAATAATATACGCATTTGGTAAACCCAAAACGTTAAAACATGTTTAATTGTGTGGTTTACTTTTGAGCATTTAAAGATATAAGAAGGCATTTTTTTAAAAAAAAATATCAACCCAGTGTTCTTGGATTACAGCTCCAATCATCTCCAGCCAGTTACAGATTTAATGATTTTGCTAGTATTTTATTTTTTTTTAGCTTTGGATTAAATTGTAGTGTTTGTGATAAATTCACGAGTTTCAGAACTCAAAGGTAGGAAGGAATAATTGGGAAGGATTCTGATAGAATGATGGAAACAGAAGCTGTTCAACCTTTCTCTTCCTTGACTCATCTTTTTTTTCAGTTACCTGGGAAAAGGGGATTTGGGCCAGCCGGCTGGACTGTACAAGCCAAAATGGAAATTTATTTGTGGCTAGGACTCAACAAACAGAGGAAGGATTTCCTCAGTGGCCTACCCTGTGGCTTTGAGGAGAAGAAACTTCCTGCGGGACAAGGTCTCCCAACTTTCCCACCCATCAGCCTCCTCTATACCAGTAAGAAAATATCCCCTTTGTTTTCACTGGGACAGGTGGGGGCCCCTAAGCACAGGCTTTCTTCTCTCACACCATGGTGAAGTGAAAGAAGATCTGTCAGAATACATTTTCTAAGATAAAATGATGCCTCCTGCAGTTCCAGGTCCCTGGGAGGGATCTCATTTTGACATTAGCTGCTTCCATGTTACTTGAATGGCATGCTAGAATAAGTGAATGTGGGATCAGTTTTTTGGCACTTCACAGCTCCATCTTCCAATATTATGTTGCGTTTCTTCCAGCATTTGCCATGTAAAATGGTGGCACTCTGCCTAATATTATAATGGGGCTATATCTGAGATATATATATAGTCAGCATTATTAAGGTGCCTGATTTTCTAGGTATAAATTTTGAAAACTGGTCCCTGGTTCAAGGCAAAGGCCTATTGCAAAATGATTTCATTTTTTTCTTTCCCCCAAAATCTAATTCTGCCTCTGTCTTCCTGAATGTACTGAATAATCTTTGTCCTTTCCAACACAGAGAAACAAGTCTTCCAGCTCCGAGCCCATATGTACCAGGCCAGGAGTTTGTTCGCTGCAGATAGCAGTGGCCTTTCTGATCCTTTTGCCCGGGTTTTCTTTATCACTCAAGGTCAATGCACTGAGGTAAGATGACAGCTGCCAAACTCAAGAAGTATTGTTGCAGGTCAACCTTTTCCACTCTTCGTCCTCCGGGTATGCTGGGTTATAATTCCTATAAACTCCATTTGGTACATATGAAAGCTGTGCTAACTAGAGTAATTTAAGTTATATTCTACCACATCTGAAAGGTGCAGGATGTAGAAATTCTATTTTAGGTGGTCTTTTAGGAATATCTGCAAGGTCAAAACAGTTGAGATGGTGTCTTCAAGGGTGTGATCAAAACTTTGCCTAATTTTTACATGCATCAACCATGCAACACTGCAACACTGTAGTCTATGCCAGAATTTTGAAGTGCATTTGCTTGATGGTTGCCTGATGGTGTGCAGAACATATTCTCAGATGCTGTTCAAATGTTATTGGCTACATATTCATTGGGCTGTTGGAGTTCATTCGTTCATTCATTCATTCATTCATTCATTCATTCATTCATTCAATTTGTATAGCTGGCCATCTCAGTCAACGACTGAGCAGCTTACAAGTCAAAAAATAAATTACAGTTAAAACACTAAAACATTTAAAAAAAATAAAAACAATGTACTCATTCATCCTTCTAAATAACTTGGGACTAATTCTTTATCCAATAATTTCTCTTATGTATTCTTTCTTCTACTCTGAGGAAAATCAGAAGTCCTGTTTCATGGTTCTCCAGCCATTGTCAACTCTGGTGCAGCAATTGCATGCCATTCCCATGTCATCATAACATCCCTGATGGTTTTTGACTGTACTACTAGATCCAACATAGTGGGCATGCAGTGTATCATTTTGATAAAGCAACGTCATCTGGTTGGGTGAAGAAAATAGCACCTCCTTCATGGAATACCCTCCTCAAAGAGATTCAGACAACCCCCAACCCTGTTGGCCTTTCATGAAGGCCAAAAAGAGCTGGCTTTTCCCCCAGTTGTGAATGGAGTCTGCTGTGATGTGAGGATGGTGGAATATATGGATAAGGCATTTGTTATAGTGACTCAGCGTTCTTCTTTTAACTTAGTTATGTATTTTGTTGCTATGGTTGTTATTATGGTAAGTGGACGGTCATATATGTTTGCTGAATGGATAAATAAACAATAAAAAATCATAGTTATTCTAGAATTGCCATAAGATAAATGTCTATGAATGCATGCATACATTCATATGTAACTAAAATAACAGTAAAAAAACAACAACGTATTTAGAACAACAACAAAATGTTTCAAGACTTTTTCCCAATTCCATGCTCCATTCTATTCCGCTCTTCTTTATCTGCTTGTTTCCATGCATAACAAGCATTTTAGTTCTCTTTGGACCGTTTGACATCTTTTGTTCCTTACAGATGTTTCCCTGTATAATTAAAACTAATTATACATGGTGTCCTTGAATAAATATGTTTTCAGTGTATTATGATATGCTCATTATGAAAGCCTTTTGTATTTCTCTAGAGAAAGAATTCCATAATTAAGATACGGCCACAGAAAACTAGTTGTCTGTGAACCAAGAAAGTCTGATTGAAAAGGGGGTCAGAATGCTGGGCTTGCTATAATAACCTTAAATTTCAAATTCAAAACAAAGTGGATGATTTCTGTTTTATGTTAACAAACAAAAAACACCTTGTAGAACAGAAACCAAAAGAAGGTTTGTTGAAATGAAGAAGGTTTATTGGACATCTTTAATCCTTTGCTACCTCCACTTCCAGGTCTTGAATGAAACACTTTGTCCTACCTGGGACCAACTGCTGGTGTTTGACAATGTTGAGCTATATGGGGAAGCACATGAGATGCGGGATGACCCTCCCATTATTGTCATTGAAATCTATGATCAGGATACAGTGGTAAGAGAAGACTAAGGCCAGTGAGGGAACTGGGTCTCCATAGTCCATAAAATGAAACAGAGGTTCTTTTTTATATAAATTCAGAAGCTCCCGGTAAGAGTGTCTCCTGATATCCCTCATATTTGATATATTGCTCTTAGATGACTAAACTAGATAGTTAGCAGCAGGGTCATGTCCAAGATCTTGTGTAAAAATATTGTAAGGAAGGGACAGTTTCATCACTCCTGCATTGCTGTCCCCATATGCATTTCTCCCAGGCATTTATTTTTGAGGCTAAGATGAAAAGAGCAGCTTGTCTGGCTACTTTAATCCTGACCTTTTTGTCAATTGTTTTTTTTCCCTGAGGGTGGACTGGAGATCAAGATATAATAGTCTTTACCTTGATGTTTTGAACAAAAAACATCACTGGAGGTTTTTAAGAAAAGACTGGACAGCCACCTATCTGAAAGGGTATACAATCTCCTGCTTGAGCAGGGGGTTGGCCTAGAAGACCTCCAAGGTCCCTTCCAGCTCTATTCTGATTGATTTCAACTGGTAGGCACATAGCAGTGGCCCTTTGGAGACCCTGGGAAGGATTAGGATGGTGATTTCTATATATTTTCAGGGGAAGGCTGACTTCATGGGACGAACATTTGCCAAACCTGTGGTAAAGATGTCAGATGAGGAATATTGCCCTCCACGTTTCCCGCCTCAGTTGGAATATTACCAGATCTATCGGGGTAACTCAACTGCTGGAGATCTACTGGCTGCCTTTGAACTCCTTCAGGTAATGGAATGAACTCTGGTACTTTAGAGAACATCTGGATAGTATCAGGCTTGAAACCTCATTAGACAAATTCATTTGTTTCAGAGTTAATCCTGGGGTGTAAACTATTCTGTTCTGAGGGAAGTGGATAGGACCCAAAATGGGATGGGAGTTGTACTCTGCCCTATTTGAGATATTTATTGGTAGTGTTTCATATTCTCTCCTATTCTCTCATCTCAGTTAAAAATATGGTGGATTTGAACAACAAAAGCCACTTACTTGTCTCACTGGATAAAATAGGGCATTTGTGAAAGAACAAGAGGCAAAATAACTAAATAATACTTGCTATCAAGATAACTCAAACTTTTCTGCAGATGGATTGCACAGAGCAAGCCGTACAAGTGGAACCCTGATAGGACAGGATCTTATAAATATGAAATGTTATTTCAATTCTGAAAATGGTCATTTGCTTTTCCATCTTCTTTCCTATTTGAGAATAGAGTTTGTTTCATGGATCTGCCTATTTCTCTTCCCCTGTTCCTCCCTCATATCTATTTTCTTAGCTTCCTTATAATGAGAAAGGCAGATCTTGCTGGTGGTCACCAATCATTTGTGCTACAAATTAAGATGCTTCTCAAATTGTCTAGGACTGTTAAGATTGAACAAACTACTTCTTGTTATTCTTTCATGTCTCTTAGCCCAAGGATCTATTTGCATCACGCATTCTGTTTATCACTTGTTCCTTTTAATTTATATCTTTTGTTCTTTCCCCTATAATAGCTATGCCATTGCTTGTTACCGGCCTTTTTCATCTTTCAATTAACTTATTTAAGTCCCAGATAAACTATTGTAATTGGATTTTCTAAATTAGCTAGAAATAAAGCAAGAAACACTAATGTAATTTCTCTAAAACAGAATTCTCTCTCTGTTTGTGTGTGTGTTCATATGTGTATGTACGTGTGTGTGTGTGTGTGTGTGTGTGTGTGTGTGTGTGTAAGAGATAGTCTAGACCCCTAAATCATAGGAAACTTATAAATGAAAAACTACCTTCTCGACAGACAATGCATCATGCTTGCAAAGAATAAGAAGCTAAAAAAATAGAATCTCTCTCATATCAGCTTTCTATCTTCCAGATTGGACCAGCTGGGAAATCAGACCTGCCTCCCATCGATGGACCCACAGATATGGACCGGGGTCCTATCTTGCCTGTCCCTCTGGGGATTCGCCCTGTTCTGAGCAAATACCGAGTAGAGGTAATATGAATTCTTTTGATAACTATTGTGAGTTTGTAGGTATCTCTTTAGCACAAAATCCATATAGCAGATCATACTATATAGGCACCCTCAATAAATTGGTGGTTCGCTTTAGAAAACTGTTTTTATTTATTTATTAAATTTTTTATGCTGCACATTTCCCCTATAAGGCGATTCTGAGTGTTTTGTGAACTGGCAGAGGTATCTTGCCTTTATCTTCAAAAGCAGAGTTGATTACTGGGCACAGATTTGCAATCTTCTGTATGTTTGTGTGTGTGTAGATTTTTGTATATATATTGTATGTCCCCACATCAAGCCACATGAAATAAAACAAAAAGAGAGCTTGGAAGATATAATTACATATATACAATAATGAACAAAAGCATCACGGACAACTTATGAATAGTAATTTATCTGTGAGTTAAATAAATAGCAGAGCAAGAATTTCAACAATTTAGAATAATTTTTTTGAAACTTTTAACATTTCAGCCCTTGTTTTATAACTAAATTAAATGGAGGCTTTCCTTTCAATGCAAGTAGGAGTTTTAGAGCAACAGTGTTCATTATGATGAAACTGGTCCATTGTTTCTTAAGCTTCTTAAGCTTCCTGGTAACATTTCTTACATTGTCTTCTTATATTTCTTAAACATGTATGTTAGTTGGATTTGCATTGTTTGCATCCTTGGTTTCTTCCTCTTTTTGGTGTTTCCAGTTGTTTAACCATTATAGACTCCTCTTTTAATCTCTGATTCAACTTCCTCCTAGATTTTGTTCTGGGGATTGAGAGACCTGAAGCGAGTGAACTTGGCCCAGGTGGATAGACCTCGAGTGGACATTGAATGTGCTGGAAGAGGGGTCCAGTCATCTCTCATCCAGAACTATAAGAAAAATCCCAATTTCAGCACTTTGGTCAAATGGTTTGAAGTGGTGAGTTTTTATCCCTTCTTAGAAGCAGCCTAAGGAAGAAGGGAATTGAAAGGACAGCCCTGATGGATCCCAACATTGTCTAATCCAGCATTCTGTAGGTATCATTTTAGATGCTCACAATGAGATGGCCTATTCCCACTGTTGCATTCTAACAACTGAAATCCATGGAAAGATAGAAATGTCATGTCCTGTCCATCTTCTTATCCTTGTTGTGATTCCGTGCCAGCCTGTGTTTCCAACAGCTGAGTCTGAGGAATCTGAGGAGGAGGTGGAGGAGGCCTTTGAGGGGCCGTCAGGGTCAGAGGGAGGCTCTGATGAATTACAGGACTCACGGCTTGATGAAGAGCCTGGCCCCTCCAGTCGTGTTTCTGATGAAGCTCAGCTGTGTGAGGAGCATGAGTCAGATTCAGAAGTCTCACACCTGGATGTGCTAATTGATGCTCGCAGGCATCGTCAATTAGCAAGAGAAAAAAAACAACAGTCTATGCGACTACTCCAAAGTAAAAGGAGAAGGCAATGAGAGGCAACGCCCTGGGACTGCTGTATAAAAAGGGGAGGTGTGGGCGTTGCTGGTTGCTGAAGGCAACCGTTTGCAAAGTGCTTCTTGGAATCCTGGTCTGTTCGTCTTGTTTGCAACGTGTTCCTGTGGACTATTTCCTTCCTTTGGACTTGAGTTTTGCTGTTTGTGTTTTGGACTTATTGACAGGTTTGTCACCCAAATAAAAGGGATTTTGTTTTGTTTTAAAGTCTCCAGCCTATTGTATCAGCAGGGGTTTGGTCCTTGTGCCTCTAACAAGGACGGCAATAGGCTGGGATAGAACAATCCTTTCCCAAGGCTTCCTTCCCACCATATACTGACCCCATTCTCCATAATATGAGCATAGTAAATGGCATGAAATGTTAGACTACGAGGAAAATATGTGCTCTTGCAATCTTTCCTAAGGTTTTCTTATTGTGAAATGACATTGAAAAAGCATGACATTTGTGTAACCCTCACTCTCACTTCCTGGATAGTAGTAGAATACTTGTAATTCAAGGACATCACATATTTCTTTGGCTATAATACTAAAACAATGTAGGTGAAAAATCAGATTAGAAATTCGAGTACATTTCTCATAAGACGTTGGTGGCCTAACCATGCCCAAGGCAATAACAATGTTAAGGCTAACCAGATATCGGTCTGACCCGTATCTATTTACCAAAGGCTGGTTAAGTGGTCTTGGAAGCAGACAATGTTTTGATGAGTTGCAGATTTAGATGTGTACAAAGCTCACACTGATCATCCAATAAACGTCTTTGGCACAGAATCTGATCCTCCTTGGCTGCAGCCTTACTTTTACATACCTGGCAAAGGCCCCTTAGAAATAAGTAGGTTTTACATTTACTTAAGACATGCATAGAGTTGTGCTGTTAATGCAGAATCTGATTATAATTTTACTGCCAAAAGTGGTATGCAAATATTTATACTTACAAATAGCCATTATATATAAAAGGAAAGATTCAGAAATGCATTTTATGTCTTGGAGCATTAATCTTACAGTAATAGCTTTCATACCCTTCAGCAATAAATAGTTCCCCATCCCACCCCAAATTTAGATGTCATAATTAAATCTTAGATTTAATCTAAGTCAGTGTAACCATATTCTAAATGTTGAATTCTTATGAAAATTTGGCAAACTTCATATCTGGCATAGATTCTATCATTCAGCACAGGGCAAAACACTTGATCAGCTAGTCAACAGCTCAACCAGGTTAGATATGTGTTAGCTATGACAAGTTGACCTCTCTTAATAGCTGTTTGAGTATCCCCAAAATTTCTGTTTGAAAGTATTTTAGCTCACTCTGACAATGATTCTTGTACATAAAGAAGAGCAGAGATGACTAATAAGAACCAGAAAACAATGAACTCTCCAAAGGTGTAGTGGAGCTATTGAAGTTTATTTTTCCCAGTCCCTTAAGCATTCAGGAACTGGGTTTGAAAATGAGAACAGTCTTTTAGAGTTTAAGCAATCCAAACTAAGAATTCAACATTCAAAATAACGTACTTAACCAAGGAAGCAAACTCTTCAGAAGTTGCAGTTCTCTTCTGCTTTCTCAACAATAGTCACAATAAAGACTGTTATGAAGCCTCTGAGGAAGATTTTCCAATTTAAGGAACCAACTCTCTTCTGTGCCTCAATAGCTTGTTGAATCAAGCCAGGCAGTGTAAAAGAGTGATGGAGTTTGTTTGTACAGGCCTGATAAGGTTAATTCAGCAGGTATTTTCTCTGGAGATTTCTTTTTGTTAACCTCTGTATCTATCATCTTTCTAAACCTTCTTCTCTCACACCTACTCCTTTGTCAGAACAGCTGTAATGCTCCATAGCATTAAGAGTCTACAGGTAGTCATATTCTGCTGCTGTGATTTACCTCCCCAAAAGTCTGGTGTTTTCCCTTCACTATTCTCATTAGAAAGTCCAATTATGTTGTGAATTTGGAATATTCCAAATGTTATAACTAGTTACAAATACCATATATATCAGGAAAAAACTATGTGAAAACCTTAAGAGCTATTGTGAGTGTTAGCCAAGGTTAGCAGGCTAAAGTTCTCCAGATGTCTAGACAACTCACTGGTGTTGACCATGCTAGCTAAAACTAATGGTAGTTGAAATCCAAAGCTTATGGAGAGCATTCAGGATGCCTATTTTAGTGATACAGACAATATATTAAGCTTGATAAATCCATAGCTTTTATTTAAAAAGCAGTTTTGTTTCCTCTGTGCCTCTTTCTTAAATACCAGAACCTGATCAATATCCATGACTTGTATTTATTTTTCTTTTCAGGATCTGCCTGAAAACGAACTCCTGCATCCACCCCTCAATATTCGTGTAGTGGATTGCCGTGCCTTTGGGCGTTACACCCTTGTGGGGAGCCATGCTGTCAATTCTTTACGGAAGTTCATCTATAGACCTCCAGATAAGAAGTCTCAGCACTGGAGCACTGCAGGTAGGGAATGAAAGAGAATTCATACTATGGGAATAGATGGCAGGAGAAGATCCACTTATGGACTGGTTGTCCTCATTGGCCAAGAGCATGACTTATTAATATATTCTAAGTATCCAGATGATACCAATAGAAGAGAATATTTGTAGCTCAGGGTTCAGTTGTGGAGTCCTTGGTGCTCTCTGAGCATAGTTGTTTTCTAGCAGATGTTTCCTTACCAAACTAGGTAACCTCATCAATACACTGCACTGGTGGTGATGATGTTACCTAGTTTGATAATGAAATGTCTGCAAGAAAACATCCAAGCTCAGAGCGCACCAAGGAATCCAGATGATAGTTTGCTGGCACAGAAGAAAATGAGAAATCTGAGGGTGAATGGCAAATTGCTCTTCATAGCAAGATGTTGAAGAGATTATGTTCAAATCTCACAATAGATAAGGTTTCTAGCTGAGTTCAGTCAACACCCTAAACTTAGTTGAAATAGAATTGAGCAAATTCAGAGTGTTAGGAGATATTGTCTTAAGCACATTATGTGAATTAGTCTCTAATAACAAAACATAATATAATTTATTTGTTCAGACATAGAAGATTATGGGAACATTTAATTGTATTTTGTTATTTCAAGTTTTAAGTTTTAGTGTGTTAGGAGAGTCATTCTTATATTAGCCTTAACAAACGAAGATGTTGCATATCTATGACTTTGCTTCTTCCACCTAATATGTGGCAGTAATAATAATGGCTATACTTAAATTATTCCAATATTTGGCCAAGTGATATACTCAGTGGAATTAGAAAATCAGCTGTGTAATACAAAACGATTGTGGTGATAGATGAGCCCCTCACAGTGATCACATATATTCAATATTTTGCTTCTTACTATTGTGAGGGGTTTTTTTTTCTTTTAAACCCCAGGTTCCTCCACAATTTCTTCTACATTTTTTCAACCAGATTTTCATTCTTCAATATTATATACTTTATCTCATCTTCAGACAATTTCAATCTAAAATATTTCATATATCTGTGCTCTCTCTCTTTCTCTTTCCTGAGTGTGCCTATTATGCACTCTTGTTTTTCCCCTATTTATTTATTTTCTGTCCAGCTAAACTTATGAACGCCTATGTGATTCTTGCAAATGGGGGGCCCTACTCTCACCCCACAGGTGAAATTGTGGTTAACATGGAGCCAGAGATTCCCATCAAGAAGATGGAGACCATGGTGAAGTTGGAAGCGGTAAGAAGAATCAAGGATGAGTTACAGAAGTCCTAAAGGGTTTGATGCATGGCACCCAAAAGATTGAATCTCTGATCAGTCTTTCATTCAAATAATGAAGTCTGGGTTTGCTCCTTTCCATCTGTCTTTTGTTTTTCTCCTTTGCTCCTATCCTTGTTGGAAAATTACTGTGTGTAATTTACAGCTCAGTTTACATTCAACAAACTCCCAGAAACTATGGTTGGGTCTATCCATGTGTTGTGAGATTAAGGATTTTTTAATAATGTCTTCTGACTACTAGTTGATATTCATGGATACACTCTGCCTTCTGCCTATCTATTCTACATATTGTTGTTACAGTCCTTACACTGTATGTGGTAGATCAAGGGTCTCAAAACTTGTAGACTTCAATGCCCAGAATTCCTCAGCCATCCATGCTACAAGTCTTAAAGTGGCTAAGTTTGGAGACCCCTGTTGTAGATAACTTCTGTATTTTTCTTCTTGGGCTATTGAGTCTGGTCTTTTGGTTCATTTAAAATGATTTAGATGCTTTAGTTGATTTGTGTGCTATAGCGATTTGTGTGCTATGGTGATGCCTCTGGGTGTAATAATCTGTTGATAGTTTCTGAGATGGTTTTGATGTATGTAATGTTATCCTTTTTGTAGCTTTTAGTGGTTGTAATATAGTGGTTTGAGAGTCAAGCACTTTTTGATAAAATTGTGTGGATATCCATTTTGTTGGAAGATGTTGTAAAGCTGGTTTGTTTTTTGTGTTTTTTCTGGTGTTCTGGGTTACTGTGATGTCTTTGTACTTATCTGAATAATGTCTTACCTAGCTCCTCTTGTGGAAAGCTGGACTGTAATTTTGGTAATGGAATATCTGGTTAGTGTGGATTGTTTTTCAATAGACTTGCATTTCTAATTTGCCATCACTTCCTCTGGAAGTGTAGTATATTGTTTTCTTCTTCCCTTGTGAATTTTATTCCTTTGAAGATGTTGATTTTTTCATGTGTCTTCTATAGTTGTTCCTTTTTATTATGAGGGCGTTGTCTGCATACTGGATCCATTCTTTTAGTTGTATCTGTGGAAGTGCTACAGTTTCCAGACGCTGCATTATGAACTTTGCTATGAGTCCCAAGAGTGGTGATCTCATGAGTGTTCCTCTGATTTGTTGGTATATTAATTCATCAGTTGTGTTTTCATTGCTCACACTTTTGAGCAAGGGTACCTTTTTGAGGTGGAGAGCAGCTCTTGCCCTTATGAAGCCTTGGGGATTACAGAAATGGGCAAAGATAGTGCGTACAAATCACACCCTTTCTCTCACATTGATGCACACTATATACTTAGAATTCCTGGGAAATAATACATGATTAAAGTCTGCCTCCCCCCAGTCCCCCCATATTTTTAATGGAAGAAAACAATGCTCTTGTGAAAAACTGTTGGGTAGCAGAGGTTTTAACCTACTCCTTTTCAAGCTCTCTGCTTCCTACCTGTGAGTGGTTAGTTCCCCCTATTAGAATATGCCGTGTCCATTTTCTACATTTGACAGTCTGCCCCCAAACTCNTCCAATGATGGTGTATCTGAGAAAGAAGCCAAAGTACCTCTCCTAATTTTAGAAATAGTGGTAAACTTAACTACCAGGCAAGCAATGGTCTTTTTTTTAATATCAAAGTGATATTTCTATACATGTACTTAACCACATCTCCTCATCTGCACTTCCCTCCATCCCTCATTTATTGGGAAGTGGGGGTTAATTAAAAAAACACAGTTCAATCAGGGAACATTACAACACTCAAAACAACATGGAACAAAATGTTCAGACCAAATTTCAAAACACAAAGGTTTTTATTTAGAGCTTTGAACACTTGAACCCACTATTTTGAACTCAGAACTGTTACCAGATGTGCTCCAGAAACATGACACAAGAATTTCTCCAAATATACCGTATATCCACCAGGGACCAAACGGTGTGTTCTGATGGATTGAGGTCCAGTAATGACAGATAAAATGTTCCAATTCCACTTAAAATACTTTTAATAACAAAACCTATTTAAATTTAGTATGTACCATTTGGGATTGAGTGGTGGTGTTTTTGTTTTAATATGAATAACAAAAGCAAATATATAATTAATATTAATGGTCTTAGTAGGGAAAATTAGCAATCAGTTTCAAAATACTGAAGAGCATCACAGTGCAGACTAGTAAAACAAAACAAAAAGAGAGTGAATTAAGTTTTGGTGCATCTGAATGATTTTTGAAGTTATCAGCTGCTGATTGCTTTTATTCTGTCTGGGTTTATTACCAGTGAGGAGTAGAGCCCATGTGAACAATATATTCTTTTATATATATTGCAACAGGCAATTTCAGAGTCAAAGAAGGAGAGGGAGGGAGAAAGAGAAAGAAAGTCTTGGAAAGCTGCCAGAAAAAAACAACGCAATTCTAGGCTGCATCAACACATCAACAGAAGGATAGTATCAAGACCATGTGAAGAGTTATTACTGCTTTATATTGCTTTCGTAAGACCACACTAGGAATACTACATCCAATTTTGGTTGCCATGATATAAACAAGATGTTGAGACTCTGGAAAGAGTGCAGAGAAGAGCAACAAAGATGATTAGGGGATAGGAGACTAAAACGTATAAGGAACAGTCACAGGAATTGGCTATATCTAGTTTAATGAAAAGAAGGACTAGGGGTGATATGATAGCAGTCCTCCAATATTTATGGGGCTGCCACAAAGAAGAGGGGGGGGTCAACCTATTCTCCAAAGCACCTGATGGAAAGAAAAGAAATAATGGATGGAAGCTTAACAAAGAGAGATCCAATTTGAAACTAAGGAGAAATTTCTTGACAGAACAATGGAGCAGCTTGCCTCCAGAAGTTGTGGATGCTCCATCATTGGAGGTTTTCAAGAAGAGTTTGGACAACTATTTCTCTGAAATGGTTTAGGCAGGGTGTCCTAATTGAGCAGGGGGTTGGACTAGAAGATCTTCAAGGTCCCTTCCATCTCTGTTATTCTATAATTCTGTAAAAGCAGTGCTGGGAATTATAGTCTTGTTTACCTGGCAGCTGAAAATGAGGCAAAAGTTGGGCCTTAAAGCTTCCATGCTGCATAGAGTCTAGCCAAAGGAATGTAGGAAAAAACTTGTTGGCTTGTTGCATTCAGTTAAAGGGCAGAATACAAATGGATAATCATGTCTTGGGAATTGGGTTGAAAGTGTGGAAACTCCATTTCAGAGAAGAAATCTAGAAAGACAGGTAAAGCATTCAGAGGATTGTTTTTGTACAATCCCATTAATCTATCTCAAGATTAATTGAAGAAAAGCAGACTAGGTCTGATCCACAAGACAGCATTTTAATTATAATGGTCAATGAAACTTTGAGATCCAATTCCTGCACCACTCTGTCTGAAATAATTTAGATTGTTCTGAATGTGCCTTGAAGCATAGCAAATTCTTTTTAATTGATGGGAGCAAATGACTTCCTCTCTGAGTTTTTCTCTTTTTTGCTATTCAAGTCAGGGACTCGAAATCATTGGCTTTCTGAGCAAGTAGTAACTGATGTGCCAGCCATCAAGGGAGTTTCCTAGCCAGGTGAAATCTACAGGCCTAAAGGCATAATGGATGGCTGTGCATGGGACGTTGTTTGGAAGAGTCTACCTATCTAGGAAAAAACCAGGACCATCAAGAGTGATTGAGTATCTTGATTTGGGAGTGCAAGTTGGATGAGCCTATTGTTTCAGCAGCCTCTTTGCAAGCATCCCCACAATATGTTCTCAGAATGATAAATGTATCTATCTGGCTCAAAAAGCTGGGCTTCTTCCCCTTCATTGATTTATGACACTTTGGCTTCTCCAAAGGCATTTTTTAAAATCATGGTGTTTGTGGGCAGGGATAATATTTAAAGAATGTTTATCACCCTTCAAAATGCCTGACCTTCCTGGTCACCTATCAGTAAAGAAGCTCATATTTTTTTAAACAAACATAGTGCATGAAATGGGGGGGGGGACATTGACAAGCCAATTCTATTCTGGTATTTAGGGAGAGGTGTGTATTCTGTTAGTCCTGACATATTTAGTATGACATATAGATTACCTCCACATGCTTTCCTAGTTTATAATTTTCTTTACCAGAGGAACTTTTTTTTTTCCTTTTTCACTTCCATGAACATTAAATTCCATTGCAAGGCTTTTGCAATACAGATCTTCCTATCCCACAGAATGACCTTTGATTTCTATATTACCCCTTGGGAGCCTTCTCCAAAGTCATACTGGGAAAGAGTGCTTGCTTCGTGCTTTTCAAATCAAACATTTTGGCAAGTATTGAAACTGTACATACTTTCAAAATGAGTGTCTTCCTAACAGAATGTTTTTGAGTTTGGCATGTTTTACCCAATTGATGGTGAACAGCTGGATGACAAGAAAAATGGAGGGGCAGGATACCTTTCCCCAAACCAGGTGCCCTGCACTCAGAATGCCAGAACTCAGAGAATTCCTAGTCACTGTAAGAAGAATTGCTATTGTTCCAAAACATCTGAAGGCATCAGATGGAGAAGACTATTCAAGGGACCTGAAGAGCAAGTGGTAAAGAGTTTCAGTGACTCTGTGGCCCAGTGTTTGCCTATACATGCTATAAAAGAATTGTTCGTTGATGATCCTACATAAAGCATAAAAATAAAATCAATTTATCATTAGCTATTCTGCATGTATGAATTAGAGACCTAGCAACAAATCTGGGCAGAACAGCACCCTAAGCTTCTTCATCCATCTGTAACATTCCTTCCATTGATTTGGGCTGTGTGTTACCTTCCTTTTTTGTTTGATATCAGACATGTGCTTGGGCTTCCCCAGTGGCTCAAAGATGCTGTACCCCTTGTTCAAGTACGTGCGCTACAGACAGCAATAACTCTCCTTCATTTTATTAACTCTCCCATGTTTTTCTCCATTCCACATTCCTTTCTCTGGTGACAGAATTCTGATGCTGTTGTGAAGGTGGACGTGGTAAGTGACAGTAGTGCTTATATGTGTCTTACTAAAACATCTTCTCTGGCATCTGGAAACAATTTATAGTAACACGATCTTCTTACATTCAGGGAATAAGCTGAAATTGCTCCCTTCTTGGATGGCCTATGTATAATAAGAATAGACCAGTAAATATTTGAGACTGATAGATATCCATTGTTCTTCCTGAAAGTTTGAGGAAAGTTTTTCCCAAGGTCCTTTGCTATTACACACACACAAATACACACACACATACAAACACACTAACACAGACATACTTGGAATTCCCAGCTTATAACATAAATTGCAGTTTTAGTGTAAGGAAGAAATGTTGGGGAGATATAGATACATATGGATACAAACAAAAACATAAAAATGATTTTGGGCCATGGTAACAGGTACTTCAATAAATCTGTTAGAAAATAAACTAATGTATTGCAGTATCTGCTGCCATGGCCCAAATTCATTTTTATATGTATGTTTGTATCTGTATGTATACTACTGTATATACTGGTATGTGTTTACTTATATGTATACATATGTGTATGTGTATGTGTATGCATGTGTATAATTTTTATTAAATAATATTTTTGCAAAATTACATGATATAAACATGAACAAGTTGAAAAGAAAGAAAAAGATAAAACTAAAAATGATGAAAACAATAGAAATTGAGAAAGAAAAAAAAGAAATACTTAAGAAGCAACTTTCAGTCTTCTTTACAGACATACTTAATGCCCTTTTTCCTCTTCAAAATTACATAACATAGTTATCTTCATATACAGCCCTTTTCAGTCAGTACATTCTCCATTTATCCATTTTCTGAAAAAGTCCATCCGTTGCCCAAATTTATTGACTGAGTCACAACATACTAACCTAGATAATCAGTTAACCAATTTTCTAGATTTGCAGGATACACTGATCCATTCAAAAACTGAATTAATTCTTAGAATATTCTAGCACCCCAAAGCCAGAGGGGCTATAATTTCTGTTTGGAGAAGCTATAGGACTTCCATAAAATATATGTGTTGGGTGAATTACAGCTACAGTATAATCCTCCTATTTTACAAAAAAGAAATTTAAGTACACACAAAATACTGCACCAAGAATGGTACCTGTGACCCACAGGCCAAGGTAGCTCAGCTATTCTATAGAGCACTGTTTCTCAACTCAGCCATTTAATAGTCCCAGAATTGCTCAAGAAGTGTTGAGAAACATGGTTCTAGATGTACAGAAATTAAAGGGGGTTGGACTAGATGACCTCCAAGGTCCCTTCCAACTTTATTATTATTATTATTATTATTATTATTATTATTATTATTATTATTATTATTATTATTATTATTATTATTATTATTATTATTATTATTATTATTATTATTATTATTATTAACTGTCTGGATTTTTCTGCATTGATTGAATATGTCTCTCTAGAATCTTTGGCAGAAATTTATTTTCCATTTCATAACTATCTCTCACTTCTTTTCCACTCTCCTACAGACAGAAGAAGAGAAGGAGAAAAAGAAGAAGAAGAAGAAAGGAAATGCAGAAGAAGCTGAGGATGAGGAGCCTGATGAGAGCATGCTGGACTGGTGGTCCAAGTATTTTGCTTCCATTGAAACTATGAAGGTGGGCAACTCACTGGCAAGCAGTACGGATATTCCGAAGGTTCTCATTTAGTTTATGTCCTGCAGGCCCTGGACTCTTTTAGATGTCAGAGAAAGAAGAAGTTCTCAGAAGTATCTAGTAATTCATCCGGCAATATTATCCTCTTAGATGAAAGATTATGTGAGATCCATGTGAGATTTCATTCTTCATGAACAAAATATTAATCCAACTCTGTATTCCTGACTATGAGATATACTTGACCTTTCCAAATTCATTTATTTTTAAGGCATTGTTAAAAACAATCCTAAAGCAGTCTTTTTTTTTTTTTTAGATTAGATTGGTTGTGGTATTTTTCTACTATTCTTACCATGGGGGGGGGGGAATCACTCTATTATGTCCCTCCCCTTCAGACTTCATAGTCTACATTCCGAAGAACTATCTGAATCTTTACAGTACTAATCACCCATATTACACGGATAAGCTCAACTCTATTCCTGTAATTCCATTGTGTTACATTGTATTCCACTGTAAGGGAAAATCAACTCAAGAAGCTTGGGGAACTCTGAAAAATGGAATTATAAAAGCCCCGTCCAGTTCAATACCACTAAAAAAGAAAACCAAGAAAAAAACAACATGGTTGCACAAAAAACTCTCAGACCAACTGAGAGGGAAAAAAAGGATAGGTTAAAAAAAATGGAAAGAGGGACACATATCTAAATCAGATCATCAATAAATAGCCCAAACCTGCAAAGATGAAGTTAGGAAGGTTAAGGCTTTGAAGAAAGTAAGGCTTGCAACAAATTTCAAAAACAATTTTAAAAAGTTTCTTTCAACACATAAAAAACAAGAAAATAGTCAAAGAAACAGTCAGTCCACTAATGGGAGAAGATTTCAAAGAAGTAACGGGCAGTAGAGAGAAAGTATTATTTATTGTCTTGAGTTAAAGTATAAAAACAGGAAGTATTGCATTTGAATTCACCTTTCTCTGTATTTCTGTTGTTTGATAAATGATTACTGTCCATGTGTTGGAAGAGAAATTGTGCTATATTTAACCATTCCATTGGCTAACTTTCATTTTTCTAGCTACTTCAGCAGCAAGAGGCAGCTGCAGCAGAAGCTGAAGAGAAAGAAGAGATGGACACAACTGAGGGTAAATATTTGAAAAGTAGGAGGAGAAAGAAACAGGAGAGGAGACCTTGTGGTTCTTCCTTTACAAAGAAAACTCTCTCCAACAATAAGCAGGCAAAACATTTTTTTTCACTGGAGCTCTTTAATAAGGAAGCATTTCCCTTATTGATTGATTGTCTGCTTACAGAACAATTAAAGACCAATACATAGTCATATTTAGCAAATCCCTATATTGGGAATGGCATACGGTGCTAAAGTGAAGGACACAAGAACTGTACTGAAGGACAATATCCTTATGAGGATATACAAAGAGTATATTGATGCTCATGGGAGTTTATAAAACAACACTGCTTAAATTAGTAGAAAATATATGGGGGGGGAAGGATACTTTTTCATAACAGTCATACTGTTTTCATAATAGCCATTTGCCATTCTAAATCGCCTCTTAATCTGTTATTGTGGCCAAAACCTGGCTCTCCTAAAATAACCAGATCACTTTAAAAGACAGAACATATTTTTACATACATGCATGCATGCAAGTAATAATACAGCATATATTGGACCCCCATCAAAGCTTTGATACTTTGCTGAGTGGCTATGAGCAAAAGCAGAACCAGACCTTATATATCTTCGACCCACTGTATTTCAGGGCAAAGAAAGGCAAAGGCAAAACAAAGGGGGGGGGGAAGGCAGAGATGGTAGAAATGACAGCAGGATATAGGAATACTTTAGTTAAGCCCATCCATGTGACTTCATTGCTTATCCCTTCCTACTAGGCCAGCATGCTTTGAGGTATGGTCAATGAACAGAAGCAGTCTACAGGTAGTCTTCAACTTAATAATAATAATAATAATAATAATAATAATAATAATAATAATAATAATAATAATAATAATAATAATAATAATAATAATAATAATAATAATAATAGTAAAGTTGGAAGGAACCTTGAAGGTCATCTAGTCCAACCCCCTGCTCAGGCAGGAAACCCTATACCATTTCGGACAAATGGCTGTCTAATCTCTTCTTAAAAACTTCCAGTGTTGGAGCATTCACCACTTCTGGAGGCAGGTTGTTCCACTGGTTAATTGTTCTCACTGTCAGGAAGTTTCTCCTTAGTTCTAGGTTGCTTCTCTCCTTGATTAGTTTCCACACGTTGCTTCTTGTCCTGCCTTCACTTACAACCACAATTGAGCCCAAAATTTATGTTGCTAAGTGAGACATTTGTTAAGTGACTTTTCCTGTCACATCTGCTAAGTGAATCACTGCAGCTGCTAAACTAATGATATGGTTGTTAAGTGAATCTGGCTTCCCCCATGACTTTGCTCATGGGGATGCTGCAACGGTCCTAAGTGTGAAAAACGGTCATAACTCCCTTTTTTCAGTGCCTCTGTAACTTTGAATGTTCACTAAATGAACCACCTGTAGTTTACCAGGCCACAGGTTTGTGATGATTCTTCCCCCTGTTGCCACTTGGGCTCAGTTCAGCATGCTGAGAATGTTTTGGTTTTTTTTTAACAAGGGAACTTCAAGCAGTTCATATTTCTGGGGGATGAAGAGAGTAGTAGCATCTCACAGGTTTGGTAGTGAATGCAGTTTATATGTGTAGATGTGGGAGGGGGGGTATATTTAGCATCACACTGTTTTTAGTATCTGCATTTTAGAAACTGTAGGACTAGCTGAAAATGAAGTTTATCAGTTTAGTTTTCAGACAGACTCCTCTGTTATTGTTACAGAGTGTCATAGGGTAATTGTGTAGATTGTAAACAGAGCAATAGCTGATAATAATAATAATAATAATAATAATAATAATAATAATAATAATAATAATAATAATAATAATAATAATAATAATAATAATAATAATAATAATAATAATAATAATAATAATAGTAAAGTTGGAAGGGACCTTGGAGGTCATCGAGTCCAACCCCCTGCTCAGGCAGGAAACCCTATACCATTTCAGACAAATGGCTGTCCAG